GGCACTCAAAACACAAATGTGTGTGGATCACATCTGTGTGAACTACCTCAATAGGAACACAAAATATTTAGCCTGTCATGCAAATCTGTGAGTTTGAAAACACATCCAGAATCACATATGCATGAACCAGGGCTGCTCCATTAACACCTGGGTGTTTTTGGGATTGCAGCAGAATTGCTGTGATTACAAAACGCAGGTTCAGGTGCCATTATTTTCAATAGCACCATAAACGTGGCGCAGCCTGATTGTTGCATGGGAAATCGCATTGTGTGAGGCTTGTCGCCCAAAAGTTGCCTTGCCCCGGGTGCATGTGCCTATGCTAAAAAAAGACCTGGCTCTTAACTTTTTTTTTTTTTTTTTTTTTTTTTTTTAATCTAGCTCCTAGATTCAAAGCAAATTTTTCAAGTCCTGGTATAGACCATTATAAATAATCACTGAATAATGTTGTAACTCTATACTAGGAGTGCTAACTGAAAATTGTCTACAGTTGCTTTAAACTGATCATTTTTACAGACCGATCTGGAGTCCAGCCTGATGCACATTGTGTGTTAATCCACTCAATATTGAATTGTGTTGATTTGGTGTGTAACACACAATGTATTGTACTGTCTGTAGATATTTGGAAAATTAAATTCACGATATGATGTAAATTTTTTCGATCTTGAATTTCATTAGCCTTCCCAATAGTGTTGAAGTACTGGGAACTAAATGGGAAATCTTGTTTAATTTCTTTTTTTTTTTTTCCCCTGAGAAAGTCAGTCATGTAATTTCCCAAAAGGGACACTCTACACAGTCTGGCTGTTGGGTGTTTCTGTATTGTTCAAGGGCTGATAAATCTGGTTGCAGTCAGTCAACCAGCAGACCGAGTCTTGAGTTCCCTGTTCTGTGAATGGTGAGCTTCATTCATTCATGCGCTCAAAATAATTGTCTGTATTGGCTCCCATTAGAATTACAACTTCACAAGAAACAAAACTGCCAAGATTTTTAAAGTGGACCAGTTAATTTTACATGTCTACAGGAATAAATTCCTTACATTTCACACAATGTACAGCAACAATGTTTAATAATTTTTTTTTAATAGAATAACTCCCACCTTTTATGATTGAAAAGCTATCCTTGAGGTCCTGTCAGTGACTAAGTTTGGATGGTGTCATTAGTTTGTTGCAAGCAAGAGGAAGCATGTCCTCAGTCTCTTCTCCCCAGATGATCATACTGCAGCAATATACCTTTTTTATAGCAAGTCACAAGGTGACACACAGCAGCAGGACCTAATCGGTGTCAGACATTTGGGCACAGCCAAGAACTACGCAGGCACCAGGATTTACATGACTGTCCTCTCTGAATCCACATCTCTGTCCAGGAGGTAGATGGTGACCTTGCATGAGCCGAAAGAGAGATCTGTTCGTGTAATACTGACCTATTAATGAGCAAACTGCACTTATCATGAATACAGGTCCATCATGGCTATGGATCTCCTAACTTGTGCCCATGCTATTTGTTTTGTTTATTTGATTTGTCTTTTTTTTTTTGTTTTTCTTTTCCAAAATAACATGCCTATACCTTGCTCTGTGCAGTGGCTTTGCACAGAGTAGCCCCAGTCCTTTTCTTTTTGGGTCCCCGCCAGCACTCCTGGCTCTAACCCCTCCCCCCCCCCCCCTCAAGCAGTACCCCCAGGGAAAGCTGCTCACCCTGGGGGCACCGCTACGTGTTTGTCCCTGAGCAGCTGCTCTATGCATCCATAAGACATAGAACTGACCACCCCCCCCCCCCCCCCGCGCTCTCCTCATTGGCTCACTGGCTGTGATTGAAAGCAGCCAATGGGCTCCCGCTGCAGTCTCAGACAATGAGGAGGAAGAGTCCCCAGACAGCAGAGGCTGTAGAGAACATTGCTGGTTCAGAAGGAGCTCAGGTATGGGTGGGGGGGGGCCCGCTACGCACAGAAGGCTTTTTTCCTGAATGCATGAAGGTAAAAAAGCCTTGAGCCTTTAGAACCACTTTAACTAATGTAGATTAAATAAAAAAAAACAAAAACATAAAATACCTGGTCGGTCATAGGGAATTGAAGTCAGATCCAGACAATTTTTTGATTTAAATCGAACTAAAATATGATTAAATAAAATGATTGTGCACCTAGAATGGAAACTTTAACAGAGGGTGTATACAATATCAATTAATAATTTGCAGTGCTTAACTAAACAAACTATTGTGTAAAAAGTATGTACAATAATGATAGTTGGTGTTGTCATATGGAAATATGTTTAAATGTGCATGAAGTTTACTGCTATTTCTGCACTCAAAGAATGTGAGTTTTATTAAAAACTGTTTTTGATTCCAGTGCTATGAAAGACCTGGGAATTCCCTTCCTATACCAGACCCTTATCCAGATGAGGGTCTGGTATGGATTTTAATGAGAAAAACTCCCACACACTTCCTTCCCTTCCTACTAATATGTTAGAAGGGAAATATTGCTGAGATGGAAACTACTGTCCCTTCCTACGGTCTCTGGCTGGAAGGGGGGAAATAACGGGGCTCAACAACCCCTGTATAAGCTCACATCCACAAGCCGAAATTGTCCAGCAAAATTTGGGCTGGCTCAGTGGAGGCACAAGGGTTTTGTGGTTTAAGTTATTGATACCTCGTGGGTGTACATCTGGGGGCTTGGTAGTGCTTAGATACTTTATTTTTATCTGTATTACCTTGTCTTCGTTCATGCCTCCCTTTTCACCTTTCCTTCCTTCTGCGCCCCCCCATTTCTCTTTTTAAGCGAAGCGCCATATTTGTAGCAATAACTGATTCTTGTCTTACACTTACTCGTGTTGTTCCTTCACCATTGCATAGAACCTCTCCAACAAACATAACGACTCTTTGACCCTTCATGTTCCCTACAAATGATGTATGTCTTGTTGTTCACTGATCATTTTACCAGGTTTATATGTATGTCTGTTTGTACTGCTTAACAAATTCAATACCTTTTTAAAGTTCCACAATGTAAATCCATTGTTGATCATGGTGTCCAGCGACGCTTATCCGTGTTAGTTATGATGAACAAAACCCACCAACTCTCCAAAATAAAAAGCCGACACAATCTACTCCCAACTGAATGCAGCTGCTATTATTGACTCCCAGTCCCCACCACGGAATGTAAACAAAGGTGTGGTATTCTGAGTGACCTTGTCGACCAAATCCAGATCTGATGTACTAATCCGGCAGTTCATTTCCTAGTCATTATAAGGAAGATTTTGAACCCTTTTCACTGAAGTCACTAATCAGTGGAATATATATGGGCACTTGATCACTTTCACTGAAACCACTAATCGATGGAATATATTAAGTTCACCTTATGGACAAAAATAATAAATGCACATTTTTTTGCAGGCAAAATAAGGTGCATTTATTATTTTTGCCCAAATGCCTGGAAAGCATTGCATCACCATGGGGGCATCTGATGTGAACCATGCCTCGCAGAAAAGAGCTGTCAGAAGACCTACGATCAAGAATTGTTGACTTGCATGAAGCTGGAAAGGGTTACAAAAGTATCTCCAAAAGCCTTGATGTTCATGTGTCCACGGTAAGACAGACTGTCTACAAATGGAGAAAGTTTAGCACTGTTGCTACTCTCCCTAGGCGTGGTCGTCCTGTAAAAATGACTGCAAGAGCACAGCGCAGAATGCTGCATGAGGTAAAGAAGAATCCCAGAGTGTCAGCTAAAGACCTACAGAAATCTCTGGCACATGCTAACATTTTTGTTGACACATCTACAATAAGGAAAACATTAAACAAGAATGGAGTACATGGGAGGACACCACGGAGGAAGCCATTGCAGCACGTTTGAAGTTTGCAAAAGAGCACCTGGATGTTCCACAGCACTACTGGCAAAATATACTGTGGACAGATGAAACCAAGATTGAGTTGTTTGGGAAGAACACACAACACTATGTGTGGAGAAAAAAAGGCACAGCACACCGACATCAAAACCTCATCCCCACTATAAAACATGGCGGAGGGAGCATCATGGTTTGGGGCTGCTTTGCTGCCTCAGGGCCTGGACGGATTTTTGTCATTGATGGGGAAAATGAATTCCAGAGTTTATCAAGACATTTTGCAGGAAAACGTACAACCATCTGTCCGCCAACTGAAGCTCCGCAGAGGATGGGTGATGCAACAGGACAATGACCCAAAGCATACAAGTAATTCAACAAAACAATGTCTGCAACAGCACAGAATACGCCTTCTGGAGTGGCCCAGTCAGAGTCCTGACCTCAACCCGATTGAAATGCTGTGGCATGACCTTAAGAGAGCGATTCACACCAGACATCCCAAGAATATTGCTACACTGAAACAGTTTTGTGAAGAGGAGTGGTCCAAAATTACTCCAGATCGTTGTGCAGGTCTGATCTGCAACTACAGGAAAAGTTTTGGTTGAGGTTATTGCTGCCAAAGGAGGGTCAACCAGTTATTTAAGTCCAAAGGTTCACATACTTTTTCCTCCCTGCACTGTGAATGTTTACATGTTATGTGCAATTAAACCATGGCAACATCTAATGTTTGTGTGTAGTATTATGTTCAGCAGACTGTGTTCTTCTATTGTTGTGACTTAGATGACGTTCAGAGCACATTTTATGCCCAATTCATGCAAAACTCCATGTAATCCCAAGGGGTTCACATACTTTTTCTTGCAACTGTATATGGATGTTTATCTTTAACTGTTACATGTTTTGATTCTATAGATATTTGATGTGGATTGAAAATGTTTGACGCATGGAGGGTAATTTAATAAAAACTGCAGCAGTTGGGCATGGCAACCAATCGGCCTCTGCCTGCTCCAGTTTTGTTAAATTCCCCCATTGTATTTTTACACATTAGTTTGGTTCACCTGACTTCAGGAAACTGAAGTTAATTAAAACCAGTGAAAGGTTTCATGAGCAAGTCTCAGCTTGTATGGACTTTAGATGGGTTTATATTTTAATGCTTAAAGAAGTTTTTTTTGGTTTTGCTTTTAGGTCTCCCTCCTTCACAGTGGTTGCGGGAGGATGTGTGTCAGTGGCTGCGTTGGGCAGAGCATGAATTCTCCCTTCACCACATCGAGAATAACACCTTCGAGATGAACGGGAAAGCACTACTTCTCTTGACGAAGGAAGACTTCCGATACCGCTGTCCGCACTCAGGTGGGTCGAATCGCAGATATGTGCTAGCTCTGCCTGAAAACATAGAACAGACTGCAGATTATTAAAGGAGCAAGGCAACTGAGGAACAATGAGCCACATTAACCACTTCAATACTGGGCACTTATACCCCCTTCTGCCCAGGCACATTCCACCTTTTTTTTTTTTTTTTTTTTTTTTTTTCTGCTTGTATTAATTTTTTTGTATTTGAGCTCTAGCTGACTTTTCCTCCATCCTGTACGTTCATACCCAAGATACGGACCTTTGGTTGCAGGGATAGTGGAGGTATCAGTGGACAGTGCATTGCCATCGCCACACTTGTACTTTGTTTAGAACAGTGGTTCTCAACCTTCCTAATGCCACGACCCTTTAATACAGTTCCTCATGTGGTGACCCCCAACCATAAAATTATTTTCGTTGTTGCTACTGTAATTTGTAATTCCCATTGGTGTCAGTGGGAGGAATAGTGCCCCATCATTTGTGTCATGTTGTGGGAGGAATAGTGCCCCATCATTGGTGTCAGTGTGGGAGGAATAGTGCCCCATCATTGGTGTCAGTGTGGGAGGAATAGTGCCCCATCATTGGTGTCAGTGTGGGAGGAATAGTGCCCCATCATTGGTGTCAGTGTGGGAGGAATAGTGCCCCATCGTTGGTGTCAGTGTGGGAGGAATAGTGCCCCATCGTTGGTGTCAGTGTGTGTGTGTGTGTGTGTGTGTGTGTGGGAGGGGAATAGTGCCCCATTGTTGGTGTCAGTGGGGGCATCGTTGGTATCAGTGGGGGAGGGGGAATAGTGCCCCATCGTTGGTATTAGTGACACCAATGATGGGGCACTATTCCTTCCACTGACACCAATGATACTTACCTTGCTGACCCCTGCTCCAGCCTGCGCTCGCTCTCTCTCCCTCTCCCATCTACAGCCAGCATACCTGGCTGCAGCAGCAACATCTGCACGGCACAGACACTTACTGGTCAGCTGTCTTCCTTCTCCGGCCGCTCCCTCCCTCGATCTTCTTTGATCTTCGTGCTGCCGCTCGGCTCCTCCTCTCCAAGCTCCACCTCCTTGCCGGTGATTGGCAGCCAGTGTGCCTCTCCTGAGCTACAGTTCCAGTGGCCAATCACCTGACGAAAAGGTGGAGCTGGTGAGTGATCCGGGGGTGTGGCCAGATGACAGGGGTGGCATGTCATCCCGCCCACACATCGCGGTCCAGGGAAATGTGGGCGTATCTGCATGTGGGCGGACCCGCCTGGAGACTGATAGAGAAGTGGTGTCTCGGTTCCTAAGACCATCAGAAATATGTGTTTTCCGATGGTCTTAGGCGATCCCTGTAAAACGGTTGTTCGATTCCCCCAAAGGGGTCGCGACCTACAGGTTGAGAACCACTGGTTTAGAACAAGTCCCTCTGTTGTAGTGGCAGATGGCACTTGTCTCTCTATTCAAAGGGCTCTTCAACAAATGGCAACAGCTTGTGGGAAGATTCAGTAGGCGGGAGTTGGAGGCTGCATATGACTGTTTCATGTTACACCCTAAACATGGGTATACGTTTTTAAGTATGGTCAAAAAAGTGGACTATGCTTTTTACGCAAAGCACTCTTAATACAATTCAAATAGGCAACTGCTACATAAGTGAGCCAAAATATGGCTAATGCAGTATCCTTAATAATGCTTATAACCCATAAATAATATAAGCCAGAAGATGATGGCCCATCTTATCAAAGGAATCATTTTATTGAAATGTATTCTCTGGAAGATATCATTAAGAGGTCTAGGGAAGACAGCAAGTTCAGCAAAAAAATTGGGTCTAGAAAGAAAATCAATATAGTATATATAGTAATATGAATCTTGCAGAATATCAGGCCATATATATTACAGGGTGAAAATCACTTTTGCCATGTTCTGTCCTGCTGTAACCCACTGTTTTGTCAGACATCAGGATGTTCCACCTAAAGGAAGGAGTTAACCACCCCATGGAGGTAACAGTGAGGGTGGACAAACACACCACAGATCAGTGAGAACAAGCAGTGTGAGGGTGTGAGTACCTCCTCTATGGCTGCTCTGTCTAGTTCTAGTGCTTGGACACTGAAGACATGTGGTATATTTCTCAACACCATACTGGAATTGGCCATGTTACTAAAAGGGTGCTGCAACAACTAATGTCTGGTCACAGTATACAACCTAGATGAAATCTGTACCCAGCACTCCAACAAGCTTGTTTCAAACTACAAAGCTCTTTATACTTTTATGATCACATAAAAACAACATTTTGGGACCATGCAAGAACCCTTTCTCACATGCCCCAGAGAGTTCCAAAACATTGATTTTTCAATGCGATCGTACAAGAATAAAGATCTTTGACCTTTGAAACAAGCTTGTTAGTGTGCTGGTGACCTGTTTCATCTAGGCACTGCAGAATGCTGATTATAGCAGTTTCAGGCCAGTATGCAATGTAATCCAAATCAGACCTTTGTTGGTTATTGGACAGAAAAGGATGGGAAAGTCATAATTTTTTTTTATTTTATTTTTTTTCTTCACTAGGCCAGAAAGTGAAATTTTGACTAGGAGCTGATTCCCTCTTATCCCCTTTTTTCCCATTGGCTCTGGGGCAGGAGGATACAGAGAGTAAGAATAACCCTCTGGTCAGGGTTTCTGTTCCTGCTTTTTCATAGTAATATGTAAAACTACACAAAGCCACATAGCAACTTCAAAAAATACTTAAAAATTAAATACATGCAGATTTTACGCACAAGCAGGAATGGGTCTTGAGGGTGTCCATACACAACCAAATCTCAACACAGTACAAGCAGTGAATAAAGAAAAAAAAAAATTTAACCATAAAGATGTGCAGAGGCCGTAACCGGCATGGCATCTCTGACCTTTTTGAAAGTGCTCAATGGCAAACATAGAGATTCTCCAGCATGTTGGCTAATTTCTGCATGAGGTGGTGCTAAGGAGACTAACAAAAATGACTACAGGTGCACCGTCAGCCAAATTGGCGGACCTACCACGTGTTTCAATTAGTGAAATATCTACCCACGTGTGGAATTGGGGGAAAATGACAAATGCAAGAAAAAAAAATCAGTAAATTCCAGTTTTATATGGCATATATTAGAGTGTAAAACGGGCCTGGGACAGCTTTACTCTGGTTATTTGCCCAATCCAATAACGCAAGCACCTATTTCTGCAGGTGACGTGTTGTACGAGGTTCTACAGCAAATCCTGCGTCATCGCAAACTGCGAGCGGTGCACCCATCTGTTTTTCACACTGGAAATTCTCTGCATGGTCAGCCTGAGCTAATGATTGCCCACAACCACCAAGAAGGTAGGTGCTCATCAAGCACATGTGGAAGAATTCTGAAATGATAAAAAATATTATATGAATATATATCTGTTCTATTTCAAAACTGGCTAGATTATAACATTTTGCTAATGCAGAAAATAAGGTATCTGTAATGTTCTTAAAGTTGCAAAAAATAAAAGTTTTGAAACCTAATCCTAATCAAATTTCATCAGGCATCAACATAATGACCTGACCAAGAACCCAAAAGAGTTTCAAAAGCTTGAATCTTTAATAACTTAACTGGACTTATCAGATAATGATTAGTGCAGTGATGTGTCAGTTGGGCGAAATAAACAGGCAGGTGAGCTGTGGTTTTATTTGCCTAAAGCCTACCAGTCAGTTGAGTTTTGCCATATAGCAAAAAAAGTGGCTACTTGGCTGCACTCTGAAAAGCAATATACTGTGGAACACAAAGCATAGGCACCAAAATCGCATTTTATACTGTTTGTCAGACATCAGGATGTTCCACATTTGTCAGGTGATTGTCTTTTTTTTTTTTTTATATGTATTATCTGTTGCTCATTTTTAGACCATATCCAACACCGACCTCCAAGGGCCCACTCTGAAGTCCTTCCACAGAACACCCCAACTATTGAGCTACGACATCGATCTCTATCCCCTATCCCCACTAACCACCATGCCTCACCAGATCCTGAACCTCGCCCACTCCGCTCACCACTGGAGAGCAGTGTACGCCGCCCCTCCCCTGCAGAACGTCTCCACCGCCTGCAGAATGAAACCAACCACCACAATCATGATACCTACCCTTTATCTGTGTCCCCGGCTGAAGCCAATCATTGCCCCGCTGAAACGCAGCCAAAACCAAGCAGCCCACGGCAGGAAAACCCACGGGTTATTCAGCTAATGCCTAGTCCCATCATGCACCCCCTGCTTCTTAACCCACGCCACACCTTGGAGTTCAAACAGCCACGACTGGGCATGGAAGATGGTCCACAAAGAGAAGGGAAGCCTATGAATTTATCACACCGTGAGGAGATGGCATTCATGAATCATTTGATGGTGTCCATGTCTCCACCTGAGGGACAGTCCATGCCTATAGGGAGAATAGCTGGTGAGTGTCCAGTGTGCGTTTTGTGTATAGAAGGAGGGGGGGGGGGGGGGTGTATCTCAATTAGCTTGAAACATTCTTAACTGGATTGAGCTTTTGACTAAACTATTCAAAGACATTTATTTGTAAATGTTTCACTTTAAGCCACTCCAATGTAGCTTTAGCCGTATGCTTAGGTTCATTTTCCTGCTTGGAAGGTAACCCGCCAACCCAATTTCAAATCTGATTGAAATAGATTTTCTTCAAGAGTTGCCCTGTATTTGGTGCCATCCATCTTTTCCTTCGTTACCAGTTTTCCTGTCCCTGCTGATAAACAAAAAGGTGGCAGCATTATGGTGCGGGAATGCTTTTTGAGAGGTGAAGAGAACTCTTCCCAAAGGGCAAAACCTTCTCTGGTAACCACTGACCAAACGGGCAAAAGCATGCACTATGGAAAAATAATGTTTTTCACTTCCTGTTGCGAAGCGAAATCTACCCAATGGGACACTGGCAAAAAAAGAAACCTTTTACCTACGCTATCCAAAAGAGAAAAGTTTTGGCTTTACGAAAGGTAAATTAAGTCATAGAGTAATTTTGTAAAGTTAAAGTAGAACTAAAGGCAAAACTTTTATTATAGAGTTGAGAGATTGCAACACCTGTTGTTTTTATTGCTGTCTGTGCCCCCATTATAGAGAGATTCACCCTCTCTAGTTGTCCTGTTACAATTATCATCAAAGGTGAACACAAAGTAAACAACAAATTTTGGGTTGTTCCCAGAAAAGTAATAGAGGAAAAATTTTACAATGGGGACACTAGTTCTGGTGACCTGAGGTCCCCAAGGAATTCCCTTCAGTCATTGGTTATAACCTTTCCTTACTCTCTGGGGGGAAAAAAAAAACCGTTCTGCCTGTAGTTCTACTTTAACTAAGGCATACTAAATTTGGTGTGGGCAACTAGGCTTTAGTGACCTCTGGTCATGAAAGTGTTAAAGTTGAACTTCAAAAATGAACTGTATTGCATACTTGCTTACAAGCTGGGCCAGTGTACGTATACATATCTCCGCTCTCACTATACATATCTGTGTGCTGCTGGGGAAGCTGACAATCCCTATAGTAGTTGGCACTTCTAAACTAATAGCCACAATCTTCAGTTCCTGCTGGAAGTTGTGATATCCCTGCTCTCCACCTCATCCAATCAGAGAACAGCTTGTATTCAGTGAAAGAAGTACACTGTATTATATGAATGGCAGCGGTGGTAAGCAAGCAATCCCCTGTGGTCAGTGTGCATAGGTGCAGCCTATCCTACAGGAACTGAAAACATTGCAGCTGTTACTGTAGTAGTGACAACTACTAGACTGATTTTCAGCTGCCCCCTGTGGCCCATCAGGTATGAGATATGCATACTTAGTGTGCCAAGCTGGATCAATGAAGTATGACATACAAATAATTTCTAGAGTTCAGCTTTAAGACAATTGACACCCTCCCCCCTTCCATAATGTCAATCTTGAAGAAAACATGCAGCTGCTCATGGCTGTACACTTGCCATGTCACAAATGTATACCTCATGTCGTGTTTGGCAGGCAGTACTGCCGCCATATGCAACCCAATCGTGTGAGTGAATATAATCAAATGAATATCTGTCCACTGGGTGAAATGCGTGTGAGGTGCCTTCCTTCGTTATGTGTGCCAGTTGCAAGAAAGAGGTTCCACTCTGTACAAAATAAGTTTCTGCAATGAGTGCAGTATTCTCAAGTCTTTATTCATCTTGGTACAAACGCAAGCATAAAATTATTATTAATAATATATTTTAATCTGGATATGTGTATAGACAAATTTTTTTGTGGTTGGCAACCTAGAGAAAATAGTTCATATGCTGAGGATTTAATCACTGCAAACTATTTTTTTTTTTTTTTTTTTTTTAATTTCCTTCCTAGACTGTCGGCTACTCTGGGATTATGTGTACCAGCTCCTGTCTGACACCAGATACGAGAACTTCATCCGCTGGGAAGATAAAGAGTCGATGATCTTCCGAATCATGGACCCCAATGGCCTGGCGAGATTGTGGGGGAATCATAAGGTATCTGAGACATTCCTGACATTTCCTCTACAACGATCTATTTAGCTGCATGAGGCAGGCTGTCACCAAAAATAGCTGATTATGCAGGTACGCAGCACCAAAATTTAAATTCTCTATTCCTCCTCTGTCTTTTGGAGTCAACAGCCCTGCTTGTTTATAAAGCTGCCCTGTGCAGTTTCAGTCACTCATTTGCACTTTTCCTTTGACTACTATGAAAATAAACTAACTGAAAACAAACAATCTGAATTGCTGTTAACATCACCAATGTTTATAAAGTTTCTTCTATTCATTTTCTTTTAACTTGCTAATTTTTATCCCACCCTCAATCTGGCATGATATGGGTTTTAAAGGGATGGCTGAATCCTCCCCCCCCCCCCCCCCCCCTTTTTTTCTTACCCAAAAAGTTTAATTTGTTAATACTTTTTCATGTTCTAATTACCCATTGCAAACCATTACTAAGAAATATATGGAGAACAATGTTGGGCCAAGGGGCAATGAATGGCAAAGGTTATTTTCTGATATTTTATATATTTTCTCCTTTTTGTTCTTGACCGTTTTTTTCCTTCTCTTTCCCTCTTGTGGGCTTCTTCTCTCTCTGTTGCTCTCTTGCTTCATTAACCTCTATTTTTCGTCACTGCTCATTTTTATTCTCTTTTTAATGAACAGAACAGAACGAACATGACGTATGAAAAAATGTCAAGGGCACTCCGCCATTACTACAAACTAAACATAATTCGCAAGGAGCCAGGACAGAGGTTACTGTTCAGGTAACAAAGGATGCTTCCCCAGCCAGAGATCTGGCCCCATACCATGTGCTGTTCAAACCCAATGCACACACCTTACTCCGGTAGTATAGTAGGCCATGACACCACAAAGCCTGTGTGCTAAGAAATCAACTCACAAGACACAACGTATTGCAGCTTAGCAGTCCTTGGATATGGTGGTGTATTAGTTTTTTCTTTTTCAAGCTTTTTCCTCTTTTACCTGGTGATCCTGCCAGTAACACATTTCCTGTCCTAGGGGGGGACTACCCGCTCACAGTACTGCATCCATGCAAGAGCAGTGTTGTCCCCATAGGACAGAAGGTGTGTTGGGACTACAAAACGCCCTTGTCCTCTCCAAAAGTTAGAATGAATGTGTACTATAGCTCAGAGGAGAACTGGGAGCGGCTGATCTTGGCTCGATTGACAGGGTAGTTTTTTTTACTTATACAGTTTAAAGAGTTTTTGTTTACTTTTTTTGCTCCCCTTTGGTTTCTTTAAATAGGAGAGTAAAATAAATTTCTTCAATATTAATCACCTAGAAAATCTTTGCCTTCTGAGACCTTCTTATTTATTCATTTTCCCCTCCTGGCAGGTTTATGAAAACACCAGAAGAGATAATGAGTGGCAGGACAGACAGACTAGAACACCTGGAATCTCAGGAGCTGGACGAGACAATGTATCAGGAGGATGAATGTTGAAGTGGCGACCCTTCTTGATAAGGACAGATCCTGCTCAGTAGCCGACTAGCCTGGAGTCACTGAAGGGCTGGAGGTGGATCCACTAAAGGACCCACCCTGACAATGTGCAGTAATACACGCCCTCCCTTTGAAAAATGGACACACTGGCTGCTGCTGGGGGTAACTTCTCCAGACGCAGTTGGATTCTGGTACTCTCAGGGAGGGATGCAGTTCGGCACCTGTCGAGTCCCTTTTCTTTTATGAAATTAGTCCTGACTTTATTTCTGCAGAAATCATATTTTTGGAAGTATTTGCACTGGAGAATATTACTTCGGACGACGCACTGTGACCGTGATGGCCGCATTGGGACTCTTTCCATGCGTTGCCCTCGCTTTTTTTTTTTTTTCTGAACATGTTTCTTTAATCTTTTGCATCACTTGTAAATTGCACTAGAGACATTTTAACTACATATCTTCTACTTTACCTGTTTTACATGTGGTGCCACCTGCAGCCTTGAACTTGTGACATTATAACTGGCGGGCTGCGACTTGGCCCGTTCTCATTCAGCATTACTTCCTGTTTATGCGCTATGCCACTTCCTATCATCATTGCCACCTTCTCAGACACTTATTTTTCCTATGAAAAAAAAGACAATAATACTACAAATGTATGTATGGGGTGGATAAATTCCTCTGGCAATGAAGGGAATTTTTATCTTTCTTAACTAGTTTTTTTTTTTTTTTTTGGTTTGTTTCTATTTTATTTTTTTTAACAAATTATTTGTTTGGAAAGAAAATGGGGAAACCTGATTTTCCAGTGCCACTAAATATCCCATCTGCTCTCTTGTACGTGTGCGGTTTAGGCCTTTTTTTTTTTTTTTTTTTTTTTTTTTTTTTTTTTCATCAAATAAAGGCCAGAAAACTAAGATGTAAATGAGTCCCTCGACCCGGTCTCAAATCTTTATGTAAATTATTTCCATCTGTAAAAGATCTAAGATCTATGGGATAATGATGCATACATGTATCAAGCCAGTGAAGCACATACGGCATCTATCCAAGTTATGCAAAAAAGTATGTGATCACCAAAATCAATATATAAAGTATTGCAAATCAATATTAGTACTTGATTAATACTCTTTAAAGTGTCAAGTGCAATAATATAAAAAGTCCTTCTAGTGACAGTCCAATAAAAAATCTCCAGTGAAAACTATTTCAAGCTGTGCTCGATCCTAAATAGTGCTCATCTCCTGAGCAAGGCCCTCCACCACCATGCGCTCACCAGAAAGCCACTTGGTTAATGGCCAGTAGCTCACCCAGTAAGGAATCTACGTTTTTCACTCCTCAATATCGATATCAGTACGGCCTGGAGCCTAAAGAAAAATGCCAGGTGGCAGCTCCTCCAATGATTGCCCAGTCAGCAGTGACTCCTTCATCCTTTTTGTCCTCTTGAAATAGTTTTCACTGGAGATTTTTATTGGACTGTCACTACAAGGACTTTTTATATTATTGCACTTGGCACTTTAAAGCGTATTATTCATGTACTAATATTGACTTGCAATACTTTATATATATATATATATATATATATATATATATATATATATATATATATATATTTATTGATTTTGGGGATCACATATCTATCCTAATTATGCAAATAAGTGTTTTATGCACTGCACTGGCTTGATACATGTAAGTTTTTAGGCTCATCACTTCCTTTGAAGCGCAAGCAGCTCCAGCTCTTTAGCGCTCACCATTTACTCTTGAATGATGCTTACATGCTTATCCACTGTCAGCCATTCTAGACTAGAGGAAGCTCAGCAAAGGCTTTTGCAGGGGCCCACCAATGAGGGATTGTTGTGCATGAGATTAGGAAAATGTCTTCCCTGTTAGCTATGGCTATCTTGAATTTTAATAAACTCTTGAAATCTTTTACACATACAGTGGGGAAAATAATTATTTAGTCCCCTGCAGAATTTTGTAAGTTTGCCTACTTACAAAGAAATTAAGGGTCTATAATTTTTATCATGGGTGTATTTTAAATGATAGACACAGAATATCAACCAAAAATCCAGAAACAACACATGACAAACAACAAATGTTATAAATTGAGTTGTAGTTCCGTGAGTAAAAGAAGTATTTGATTCCCTACCAATTGACAATAATTCTGGCTCCCACAAACTGGCTATGTTAGTACACAGATTTGTCCTGTCAATTAAGAAGGTGCTCCTAACAACAACTCGTTAGGTGTATAAAAGACGCCTGTTCACAGAATCTTTCTTTGACAGCCCTTTGGTCTTGCCCATGGTGTTGCCCAAGGACATCACGCACAAGACTGTAGACCTGCACAAGGCTGAAATGGACTACAAGACCATCAGCAAGAAGCTTGGTGAGAAGATAACAACTGTTGGAGTGATTATTCATAAATGGAAGAAATGCGAAATAACCATCTATTGCCCTAGGTCCGGAGCTCCATGCAAGATTTTACGTTTGGAGTAAGTATGATTGTGAGAAAAGTGAGGGATCAGCCCAGAACTACATGGGAGGAGCTTGTGAATGATCTCAAGGCAGTTGGAACCACAGTCACCAAACAAACCATTTGTAACACAATACACCGCCATGGATTGAAATCCTGCAGCACCCACAAAGTCCCTCTCCTCAAAAAGACACATGTAAAGACCCGTTTGAAGTTTGCCATTACAAATCTAAATGATTCAGAGAAGAATTGGGAGAAAGTGCTGTGGTCAGATGAGACCAAAATTGAGTTCTTTGGTATTAACTCTACTCAGTGTTTGGAGAAAGAAAAATGCTGACTGACACGAATGAACAACATCCCTACAGTCAAGCACGGAGGTGGAAACATTATGCTTTGGGGCTGCTTCTCTCCTAAAGGTACAGGCTGACTTTGCCTCATTGAGGGGCCAATGGACGGAGCCATGTATTGTAAAATCTTGATGAAAACCTTCTTCCCTGAGCCAGAACACTGTGGATGGGACTTCCAGCATGACAATGTCTCCAGACCTTAGCCCAATAGAAAATTTATAGAGGGAGCTGAAACTTCAAGTTGCCAAGTGACAGCCAGGAAACCTTAAGGATTTAGAGAAGATCTGTAAAGAAGAGTGGACCAAAATCCCTCCTGAGATGTGTCAAAACCTGGAAACCAACTACAAGAAATATCTTACCTCAGTGGAGGAACCCTTGTTGGAATGCACAAAGTACTAAGTCATGTTTTGCTTGGGGATCAAATACTTATTTATCTTGCTGAACTGCGACTCCATTTATAACATTTGTATCATGTGTTTGTTTTTTTTTCTGGATTTTTGGTTGATATTCTGTCTGTATCATTTTTATCATAGGTGTATTTTAAAATTATAGACACTTAATTTTTTTGTAAGTGGGCAAATGTACAAAATGTGCAGCGGATCAAATAATTATTTTCCCCACTGGTATATATCTGAAACCGTTATGAGTTATTAAAGTAACCAGATTTTGTAGTTTAGGTTTATTGGTCCACATAAGAACATGACCTTTTGTGGAGTTTCCATGAGATGAATTCTTTAAAAGTTAACAAGAAACTCTATAAGTGGACATGTCATCAGATATAATGTATTTCGCACTCCATAAGACGCACCTAGGTTTAAGAGGTGAAAAAAAAATATTCTGAACCAATGGACTGCAGGCACAGTACAGGAGATGACCAGAGACTGCGGACACAGCACAGGGAATGACCGGAGACTGCGGCCGCAGTACAGGGGATGACCAAGAGACTGCGGCCGCAGTACAGGGGATGACCAAGAGACTGCGGCCGCAGTACAGGGGATGACCAAGAGACTGCGGCCGCAGTACAGGGGATGACCAAGAGACTGCGGCCGCAGTACAGGGGATGACCAAGAGACTGCGGCCGCAGTACAGGGGATGACCAAGAGACTGCGGCCGCAGTACAGGGGATGACCAAGAGACTGCGGCCGCAGTACAGGGGATGACCAAGAGACTGCGGCCGCAGTACAGGGGATGACCAAGAGACTGCGGCCGCAGTACAGGGGATGACCAAGAGACTGCGGCCGCAGTACAGGGGATGACCAGAGACTGCGGACATAGTACAGGGAAAATGCCAGGGACTGCAGACAATACAGGGGATGACCAAGAGACTGCGGACACAGTACAGGAGATGACCAGAGACTGCAGACACAGTACAGGAGATGACCAGAGACTGCGAACACAGTACAGGGAAAATGCCAGGGACTGCGGACATAGTACAGAGGATGACCAAGAGACTGCGGACCTTTGGGGAGGGAGGGGGAGTGGGTATCTGAAGTTGTCCTTTCTTTAGC